ATAAATATATATATATATATATATATATATATATATATACAGTATATATACTTATATATATATATATAAATAAATAATATTTTATATAAATATAAAAAACTAAACATTTAATGTAGTAAAAACCTAGCTAAAGGTTCAAAGGTGTAGTAGGGTAGCTAAAAGTATCAAAAGGATAACAAAAAATGTGGAAAATGCTAAACCATCAATAGTGCAGTGCAAGTCAACAGTAGTTAAATGTTTGCTAAAATATAAAAGTAGCAAAAAGCTAGCTAAAAGCTAAAAGTAGAACTATCTTGTTAAAAACTAAAAGAAACAAAATGTACAAGCCAAAAGTAACAAATGTTATTTAACAGTATTCATTGGGGGCTGAGATGAGTTTGAGGTAGAGCAACCGATCTGGGACCAGAAACCCGGGCTCGACTCCCCGCCATTCCCACACGTTGTTGTGTCTCTGAGCTAGACGCCCAATCCCTAATTGTTCCTCGGGCGCTTACATAGCTGCCCACTGCTCCACCTGGGTGTATCTCACGTGTGATGGGTTAAATGCAGAGAACTAATTTCGCCATTGTATGGGAACATACAGCTTGTGAGATGCTAACCTTTGGTTTGTTAAGGTCATCATTATAGCAGTCACCCCCCCAAAAACCATCTCAAACTAAAACTTTAAGCGACTAAACTTTAAACCAAAAGCCTAAAATGTTTTTTATGTCTTCAGCATAATGCGTTTATCTGGTTTGACGTGTCTGGTTCATGTCATCGTGTTTGTTTGAACTCTTTATTTGTTTAGATCACTTGGCACAGAGGTATTGCCACAGAGCTATGAGGAAACTCGACTCCCGAATTTGAAAAACAGCTTTTTCCGCAGGCTTATCTGACTTGTTAATTGACAACTTTTTTTTATTAAACTCAGCTATTTATTCCTGACAATGTTTTTGTGCTAAAAACCTTTGACCACTTAATGTTAAAGAGGTAGGAGTAAACCTGGACTTTCATCTAGCTGAAAGTAAAACGTTTCATTTTTGCTCTTGTTCTTGCAGAGCATCTGCAGAACCGTAACAGGAAGTGGTCAGTCAGCTGATGTGGAGATGTTCAATTATGATGGTAAATTTCATTAATTTTTTTTTATTGTGAATTCAAAAAGAAAAACCTAATACTTTGATCTTTGGTGATTAAAAATATCGCTTTTTTTTTACTTTTAAAGGTTTGACTCCGCTTCATGTTGCAGTCCTGTCCCATAACGCTCTTGTTAAAGAGACGAGAACTCTTGAGAACCCATGTTCTTACATGACATCGGAGCTGGCCCACAAGAGACGCATGTACGTGGAATGTATTAGGACTCTGATGCACATGGGCGCCTCTTACGGGACAAAGGTAACTGTTGCAACAACCAAACAATTAACCCTTTTTACAGTTATTAATGCATGTGCTCAGTGTTATTTTGCGATGTATTGTGGCTGAGATGTATTCATGCCTAGTTGCGGTTCATTGAAATATAAAATGTTTATATCTACCTGTTTCAGCTGCTATGAAGTCATTCAAACAACCGATAACATTGCACATTGAGGACATTTTAATTAATGCAATGTAAAATACCATCCATCCATCCGTTATCTTCTGTGTGCTCCGAAGTCGGGTCGTGGGGGCAGTAGCTTGGGCAGGGAGGTTCAGACATCGCTTTCCACAGGCACCTCTTCCAGCTCTTCTGGGAGGACCCCAAAGTGTTCCCAGGCCAACCGAGATGCAGTCTCTCCAGTGTGTCCTGGGTCTTCCTTGGGGTCTCCTACCAGTCGGACATGCCCAAAGCACCCCAGGAAGCATCCTTACCAGATGCTCGAACCACCTCAACTGGCTCCTCTCGATGTGGAGGAGTAGCAGTTCTACTCTGAGTCTCTCCCTGATAACTCAACTTCTCACTCTTTCTCTAAGGGAGAGTCCCGCTATCCTGTGGAGAAAACTCACTTCAACCACCTGTATCCAAAATCTCATTCTTTTGGTCACTACCCAGAATTCGTAGCCATAGGTGAGGGTAGTAACGTAGACTGACCAATAAACAGAGAGCTTTGCCTTACAGCTCAGCTCCCTCTTCACCAAAAAGGACAGAGTGCAGAATACTACAGACGCTGCACCAACCTGTCTGTCAAAGACTCCTACTGTAATACCAATGAAACCATTTTTAAAACAAGTTTCAATATCAAAGTTAATAAGAAAAGAAAAGTAAAGAACCAAATCACTACAGTTGAACACAGACCTTGAATGCTGGAAGTAGCTATAAATGTATTTGGCCACATGGTGTTTTAGTAGATGTAAACAGGTCAATTACCGGAATGCCTCCTACAGGACAACGGAAACTGTTACAACATTCGAACAATTACCGGATGCGATTTGTTGGTCATTGGTGGCTAAAGTTTAGATTGTTGCACATGCAGGGTTCCCAGCAACTCTGGAAATCAGGGTAAACCTGGAAAATGGCTTTCACATTTTCCAATTTTCCAGACAGGGAAAACTCAAGGGATTGGAGAAAAACATATAAAATCAGGGAAAGCTCAGGGAATCTGAACACTGATCTACTGATTAAAATCTTATCTTTCAGAGATTTTAACATGGCCATGTATTAATACTAGTATTCTAATATCATTGAGTCCATGTTCTGCTTCTACAGTGTGCACAGTCCATGTATTATTACTGATTGGCTTAGGTGGCTTTTTAGCCTGACCGATATGGAAATTTTAGCTATTGATGAACCCGATATTGGGAGGGGTAGGTGAATGCCGATAATCGACATACAAACCTGATTCCAAAAAAGTTGGGACACTAAACAAATTGTGAATAAAAACTAAATGCAATGATGTGGAGGTGCCAATGTCTAATATTTTATTCAGAATAGAACACAAATCACAGATCAAAAGTTTAAACTGAGAGAATGTATCATTTTAAGGGAAAAATCTGTTCATGGCGTCAACAAATCCCAAAAAAGTTGGGACAAGTCCATTTTTACCACTGTGTGGCATCCCCCCTTCTTCTTACAATACTCAACAGATGTCTGGGGACAGAGGAGACTAGTTTTTCAAGTTTAGAAATAGGAACACTCTCCCATTCATGTCTAATACAGGCCTCTAACTGTTCAATCGTCTTATGCCTTCTTTGTCGCACCTTCTTATTTATGATGCGCCAAATGTTCTCTATAGGTGAAAGATCTGGACTGCAGGCTGGCCATATCAGTACCCGGATCCTTCTCCTACGTAGCCATGATGCTGTGATTGCTGCAGAGTGTGGTCTGGCATTATCGTGTTGAAAAATGCAGGGTCTTCCCTGAAAGAGATGACGTCTAGATGGGAGCATATGTTGTTCTAGAACCTGAACATAGTTCTCTGCATTAATGGTGCCTTTCCCGACATGCAAGCTGACCATGCCACAAGCGCTCATGCAACCCCATACCATCAGTGATGCAGGCTTCTGAACGGAGCGTTGATAACAACTTGGGCTATCCTTGTCCTCTATGGTCCGGATGACATGGCGTCCCAGTGTTCCATAAAGAACTTGAAATCGTGACTCATCTGACCACAGAACAGTCTTCCATTTTGCCACACTCCATTTTAAATGACCCCTGGCCCAGTGAAAACGTCTGAGCTTGTGGAGCTTGCTTAGAAATGGCTTCCTCTTTGCACTGTAGAGTTTCAGCTGTCAACGGCAGATGGCACGGTGGATTGTGTTCACTGACAATGCTTTCTGGAAGTATTCCTGAACCCATTCTGTTATTTCCTTGACGGTGGCATTCCTGTTTGAGGTGCAGTGACGTTTAAGAGCCCACAGATCACGAGCATCCAGTAGTTTTACGGCCTTGACCCTTACACACAGCGATTGTTCCAGATTCTCTGAATCTTTTGATGATGTTATGCACGGTTGATGATGATAACTGGGCAGCACGGTGGCGCAACTGGTAGAGCTGCTGCCTCTCAGAGAGCAGGTCCTTGGTTCAAACCTCGGTCCAGGGGCCTTTCTGGGTGGAGTTTGCATGTTCTCTCCGTGCATGTGTGGGTTTTCTCCGGGTACTCCGGTTTCCTCCCACAGTCCAAAAACATGCATGTTAGGCTGATTGGTATCTCTAAAATTGTCCCTAGGTGTGAGTGAGAGAGTGAATGGTTGTTTGTCTCGTTTGTCTCTATGTGTCCCTGTGATGGACTTGCGACCTGTCCAGGGTGTACGCCGCCCCTCGCACAGTGATTGCTGGACATGGGCACCAGCGACCCCCGTGACCCAAAGTGGAATAAGCGGGTAAAAATAATGGATGGACGGATGGATGGATGGATGATGATAACTTAAAAGTGCTATCTTATGCTGGGTAACACCATTCTGGTATTGCTGCACTATCTTTCTGTGCAACAATGGTGGAATTGGTGATCCTCTTACCATCTTGGCTTCTGAGAGACACTGACACTCTGAGAATCTCTTTTTATACCCAATCATGTTGTCAATTGACCTAATTAGTGTTAATTGGTCTTCCAGCTGTTCGTTATATGCTCAATTTCAATAATATGAATTACGAGGTATGATTGGTGTATGCACGTACCGTAGGTTACAGTATCACTGTCAGCTCTGAATGGGACTCTGCTCTCCACCAAAGACGCCAAGTTTGAGTGTTTTGTGTGACTGAAATACCTCCTGGGATTTCAGGATTTACTCAGGGAAAAATCAGGAAATTTTGTTTTCCTAAAATGCCTCCTACAAGACATGGGCCACCATTACAAGAACTACTTACCAGATGTGTTCTTCGTGTCACTGATGGCTAAAATTTAGGTTTGGGAGCCTCCTACAGGCTAAAGGACCATAACAAGATGAGTTTTATTCCAGTCATTGTCGACTAAAGTTATCATCAACACAAACTAGATACTAGGGATGTATGATATTGGATTTTTGGCCGATATCCGATATACTAAAACTCATTTGTCCGATACCAATACCGATATTATTTTCCCTAGACCTACCTACAGAGACTACATAGCTTTCTCTGCTGTGGAATTTAAAATACTACATTATTCTACATCATGTGTCAAACTCAAGGCCCGGGGGTCAAATGTGGCCCTCGTTGACATCTTATCTGGCCCCCAAGATATTTTAAACGTACTTTTATTATTTTAATTTTTTCAGTAATCTTTGATTATGATGTTGAAAGTGAAGCAGGGAACATCAAATGAGACCAATCAAACTCTTGTTGAGGAACCTGCAACTAAGAAAAGATTGTGGGTATCCAACTTGAGTTAATGTAGATTCTGAAATTGGCCCTTAGTTTGAAAAAGTTTTTAATTTTGGCCCCCTTTTGTAAGTGAGTTTGACACCCCAGTTATAAATGGTCTTTGTCAATTTGGCCTGCTACCAAATGCAGATGCCAAAAAGGGGGCTGAAATGATGTAACACTATATAAAAAACAGCGCCTTTTATATTGGTGAGTTATTTTGATGGAATGGCCGATGTCCGATATTTAACTTTATTGTTAATATCGGCTGATACCGATATCATGCCGATAATATCGTGCATCCCTACTAGATATAACCTTTAGGATGGAGGCTGCAAATTTGACTATTTCTTCCTTTTTTTGTCTCAAGGATTTAAAAAGCGGAAGAACTTGCCTTCACATGGCTTCTGAGGATACAAATTTGGAGCTGCTCAACATCTTTCTCGAACAGCCAACGTCCCTGGCCTTTGTGAATGTTAAGGTTTGTGTCTTTCACTACAAACAACCAGAATAACGAGGCAAAGAGGAGGCGCAACAAATCTGTATGGGTGAGAATCGTTTCCCTCGTTCATTTCAGACGTTCAGTGGCAACACGGCCCTGCACATCGTCAGCTCTTTGCAAAACTACAAAAGTCAAGTGGAAGCTGTGAAGCTGCTGATGAGGAACGGTGCCGATCCGGGGGCGAGAAATTATGAAAATGAGCTGCCGTGCCAGCTGGCACCCGACGGCCCCGTGGGTGAAAAGGTGAGTTTTGTCCGGTTACACTTGCAAATTTTTCACAAAGACCATGTATTCATCACATATTAAATAACCTTTTTATATTTTATAAGTCGCGTGAGGGAGTAATTGTTGGTTTCAGTTATCAGTCCTCACAAAACAAATGTTCTTGTTTTTTTATGTTGGCATTTTTTTCCGCTGCAGCGAGCTGTAGCTGCCTCTTTAATTCCTGGATCCAGATCACCACCAAAACTTAATCATTTGTTCTTTTTGACAACCTCAAGATTTCTCCAAAATTTCATGAAGCTCCATTAACAATCAAAAAAGTTCAAGACGAAAACAACTGGACCAAAGTTCATCCAGGTACAAATCCAACGGTTTCTTTTTTTTTTTTTTTGTGGAGAAGTTTCGTCCTCCATCCAAAGGACTTCTTCAGTCCTAGGAGCCACAAACAAACTGGAGACCCACAAGCACCAACTCCCTTACTGGAAAAAAAATAGTTTGCTGGTGATGAGATGGTTTCTGGGGCCCTCCCTCTCCCCTGTCAACTCCTCTAAGGCAGCCATGCCAAAATGGTTCAAAACACCAAAGTTCATGCTCAATAATCCAGGTACAAATCCAACAATGTTCAGTCAGGTCATCTGGATGTTTTTTTTTTAAGACATTTCGTCCTTCAGCCAAAGGACTTATTCAGTTCGAGGAGCCACAAACAAACTGGAGACGCACGAGCACCAACTCCCTTAGTGGGAGAAAAAAACAAAAAAACAGTTTGCTGGTGGGACCGCCCTCTCCCCCATCAAGGTGTCAAGGCTCCTTAGACTGAAGAAGTCCTTTGGATGAAACATCTCAGAAAAAAAAACCCATCCAGATGACTTGACTGAACATTGCTGGATTTGTACCTATTGAGCTAGAACTTTGGTGTTTTGAACCATTTTGGCATGGCTGCCTTAGAAGAGTTGATGGGGGTGAGGGCGGACTCCATAAACCATCTTATCACCAGCAAACTGTTTTTTTTTTCCACTAAGGGAGTTGGTGCTTGTGGGATTCCAGTTTGTTTGTGGCTCCTTGGACTGAAGAAGTCCTTTGGATGAAGGACGAAACGTCTCAGAAAAAAAAAAAAATGCCCAGATGAGGCAGCTGTGGCTGAGTGGTTAGAGCAGTCCTCCTCCAATGCAAGGTTCTAATCCACCAGCAGTCACATGCTGAAGTGCCCCTGGGCAAGACACTGAACCCCTCATTGCCTCTGATGTGTGTCCCATTAGTGTATGAATGTGATAAAGCTCTGATTAGTCTCTTTAGAATGATTTGTTTAGCTATATTAGTGCTGTATGAATGGGTAAACGAGGGCACAGATTGTAGTGTAAAGCGCTTTGAGTGTCTTGATAAGATAGAAAGGTGCTATATAAGTACAGTCCATTTACCATGACTTGACTGAACATTGTTGGATTTGTACATGGATTATTGAGCATGGACTTTGGTCTAGATACATATACAGATTGCCCTGTCAATTCTCACAATAGGGTTTTGTTAGTCTGACTCACAGAGGAGCCACTCTGGTGACATGGATGAAGTTCTTGATTGGAGTGAAAGTGACCAGGTATCAGGCCTAAAGCTGCATTAAAGGTTTTTGAAAGTTGAATTATGAAACCTCTTCCTCTGTTTAAAGATGGTTTCTCTCATTTTACAAAAAAATGTCTTCCTTCATTCAAACCATCGGTCTTCGAAGTCCAAAATGTGAACATTGTGATCCTCAAAATTATCCCCAATTAACAATCCATTCGTAACATTTTGAGTAATATTGCGCAGACAAACCTACGTGGACAAAAACATATCCTTGGCGTAGGTTAAAAAACAACAACAAACAGGAAATCATAGAAAGTTAAGTGTGTTGATGGAAACTGGGAAATTTATCACGGAGGTGTGGCTTTGATTTTAGTTTTAAATTTCTTTCTGCTTTTTTTATTTTTAATCGCTGTAACTTGAGTAAAATCTGTTAAAGTAAAAGAAAAACAAAGTCTGAATGGGTCTTAGGGTGGAGATTAGGCGTTTTACTCTATGAAGGAAGAAAGCTTCTGACACAGTTTGAGGGAGAACAAAACAATGGCCGAACTCGTGAAGGAAAAGGTTTTTCTAAGAACGAGTAAAACTAACCTGCAGCTTTGTCTTCTTTTCTCCAGGTGCGGCAGATCCTGAAGGGGAAATATGTTCATGTTTAAGTGCACTTTCCAGAACACTGTCAGTTAGACAGTCAGCTCTATCTAAAAATATTTGCCCAGATGCGGCAGATGCTGGTTGTTTCAGTGAAACATTTCCACACGTTCGTTACAATGTAACGTTTATACGAGCTTTTGCTGGGCTCTGTGGTACGAAGCAGGAAGTAGGAGCAACTTTTAAGTTCAATGACGGTAAAAAGAAAAAAAAAACTCATCTGGAGCTAATTTACATAAAAGGTCAACAAGGGAGACTGTTTTATAACAATCTGCAGTCTTTTTGTTTGTGCGCTGATAAAGAAAATTCAGCTTTTCTTTTAGAAATTATTAGATTGTATGTCACTCATTACCACCTGCTGTGACTTTGGGTTTTGGTGCAACTTCAGCTTTTTGAAATATTTAGCCTTTTCTGCCTTTTTTTTTTCTAATAGGAAATGAATTGAGCTCGTTTTACATCCTTCAAACCTTTAGATCTGTTCACAACCTTTTACTGCTCCGTTCACATTTTGTTCTCCTTCAGCTTCTTTCAGCAAATGGAAACTTTTTTCAGCTACTTTCAGCTGTTTTTTTTTCTTCAAATTTGTTCTGCTAACTACAACATTTTTTGTGCTTCTTCTAACTTCTTTCTGCCATTTCCAGCTTGTTATGCTCTTTAGCTTATTTCTAGAAATTTCAGCTTTTTTTATTTTAGCTGTTTAGCTGTTTAATGGTAATTTTGGCTTTTTCAGCCAGTTCCACATTTTTTTTGTACTCATTTAAACTTTTTCAGGCTTTCTCAGCAAAAATGTGCTCTCTCCACTTTCTTCTAGGAATTTAAGCTTCTTTCTGCCATTTTAGCTACTTTTCAGCTTTTTTTGTTTGTTGCTAATTTCAGCTTTTTTCTGAAAACTTTCAGTTTTTTGTGCTCAATTTTGCTTCTTTCAGTATAATCAGGCAAACATGTTCTTTCTGCTTTCTTATGCTAATTTAAATTTTTCTACCTTTTCAGCTAGCTTTTTAGCAAATTTTAGCTGTTTTAAGATAAATTCATTTTTTTGTGGTATTTTTTGCTACTTTCAGCCTAATTAACTTCTTCTGCCAATTTTAGCTTGTCATGCTCCTTTCAGCTTATTTCTGTTTCAGTAATTTAAGCTATTTAGCTGTTTATATGATCATTTTAGCTTTTTCAGATCATTCCAAAATGTTTGCACGCATTTCAGTTTTCAACCTCATTCAACAAAAATGTGCTCTCTCCACTTTCTTCAGGTTTGTTAAGCCTTCCACCTTTTCAGCTACTTTTCAGTTATTTTTGCTGATTTCAGCTTTTCTTTAGCTAATTTCCAAATTTTTGTGCTCATTTTTGCTTATTTAAACCTAATTCAGCAAATATGGATTCTTTCAACTTTCTTTTAATTTAAACTTCTTGCACCTTTTCAGCTACTTTTTAGCTAATTTTAGCTGTTTTAAGAGTTTAAGTTTTTCACTTTACAATTTACAAGTTTTTTGTGGTATTTTCTGCTACTTTCAGCCTAATTAACTTCTGCTAATTTGTTCTTGTTATGCTCCTTTCAGTTATTTCAGCTACTAGTTAGCTGTGTTTGTGCTAATTTTAGCTTTTTCAGATCATTCCAAAGTTATTGCACTTGTTTAAACTTTTTTCAGTCTCGTTCAGCAAAAATATGCCCTCTCCACTTCTGGTAGTTTAAGCGTCTTTCTGCCTTTTCAGCTACTTTTCAGTTATTTTAGCTGATTTCAGCTTTTTTTAAAGCTAATTCCCTAATCTTTGTGCAATTTCTGCTTATTTAAACCTATCAGCAAATATGGATTCTTCCTGCTTTATTTCTGATTTACTTGATTTTGTATTTTGCTTTGTGTGTTACCTGTACAGCACTTTGGTTGGCCTTGTCGCTGTTTTAAGTGTTCTATAAATAGAATGGTATGGTATTCTGCTAACTTAGGCTTGTTCTTCCTTTTCAGCTACATTTCAGCATATTTTTAGCTGATTTCAGCTGTTTTAAGCAATAAGCAGTCACACAGCATTTTCACAGGAAATGCAATTTCCCCAATTATTTTTACATTAATAATAATAAATAGCTTAAAATATTGTTTTCTTAGGATAAAGAAATGCCTTATGCAATCTTTATAATCTGGATTATTTAAACCAAATAAGTTAATCAGGATGTATTAAACCTGCTTTGTACTACAGAGCCATGTTTTATTTTTTTCTGCTGGGGATTGTAATGTAGTAATTATTACTGGTAGGCTGTATATATAATTTGTGGTTCAGTTAATGTAGAAATGTTAAGTTTTTTTTACATATTTTAACTACTGTTTTACTTTTAAAGTGATGTATGACCCTATGTGAGTTAAATTGATGTGATGCAGTCAGAGGTTGTGGGACTTTGATGAAATGTGGTGAGAAATCAATTAAATGCGTTATTTCAAAATGTACTGATGATGTTTTAACGACTCTATTGCACATTAAAGTGATGGTAACAAACCAACTGAATTAAGTTGCATCATTGATTCTGAATTTAATTTGATACACGTAAATCTCAGTCGTTCCCGTTTCCTTGCTCAGTTTACAGTTTGCACCCAAAACATATGAGGCTCAAACCAAAACATAGCCATTCATGATGAAATGGAAGGAAAACTCGCGTACAGAGCGAAGGCAACCGTAACTGTCCAAACCATGAAATCATCACTGACGAATATAAATATAGAAAAAGTTTTCTCTCAGCTGGTTCAGACAGCTCTCTTTGTCCAAACTGCTACGTCATGCGAGTTTATTTCTTCTTCTTCTCCTGTGTGCTGGTGAACCACTGGTCCAGCAGCTTCTTGCTGTAATAAATCTGCCAGGCGTGCACTTGCACAGCGATGATGATCACGAGGTACATCACCGACACGGCGGAGAAGCCGAAAATGAAGCGGTACGCTTTGCCGTGGCGGTAAAGCTGCTGCGCCACGGGGAACATCTCCATGCCGCCGTAGATGAGCGGCGCCACGCAGAAGAGCCCGGCGCTGATCATGGAGATGACCAGGTAGCTGATATTGTTACGAGGCAACGCCAGGAAGCTGAAGACTGTAGGGACTATGCTCAGGAGGTAGGGGTACTCCCACTGGTATGGAGAGGCTACCACTTTGTGAGAGACGAGACTCAGTTGGCTCACAGTCACCTGAAACAAAATGGACAACATTTGAGGAATAGATTCATTTTTTTTTTAATTTTTACTAATAAAGTAGCTTGAAACCAGAGATGCACCAATCCAATATTAGTATCGGTATCAATACAGATATCGGGGGAAATCTTGATTGGGTAGACACACTGATACGATATTAATATATCGGGGGGGGGGGGGGGATTATCTTGTTTGGACATCGGTAGAGATGCACCGATCCAACATTAGTGGGGGGGATTCTTGATCGGGTATCGATAGAGATGCACCGATCCGATGTTAGTATCGGTATCAATACAGATATCGGGGGAAATCTTGATTGGGTAGACACACCGATACGATATTAATATCATATCGGGCGGAAAAAATATCTTGATCGGGTATCAGTAGAGATACACCAATCCAACATTAGTATCTGTACAGATATCGTGTGTGTGTGTGTGGGGGGGTGTTAATTCTTGATTGAGTATCGATAAGAGATGCAACGATCTGATATTAGTATCAGTATCAGTACAGACATGGAAAAATTCTTGATCGGGTAGACGCACCGGTACAATATTAATACATGTGGGGGGAGAATCTTGATCAGGTATCGGTAGAGATGCACCAATCCGACATTAGTATCGATACAGATATCGAAAAAAAAAAATTCTTGATTCATTTCAAACATTCATTTGAAATGTTTGTTGAAGTATTTTTTCATGTCTGAGCAAAGTTGTCAACCTATCGTTTTTATCAGTTTCAGTATCTTTATTATTTATTTTACATTGGATGTTATACTCATAATTGCACCGACTGAACAAATTAAAGTTGTGTTGTTTTTACGTTTGACCAAGCTTGTGAAGCTATCCGTGTGTTGTACTAGTGCAGATTTTTCAATAAATTTGTAATTCAGTACATTTATGTCTGTGTTTAAAAAACAAATGTTTTAAGTTAATTCAGCACCGATTTTTCACAAACAATATCGGATCGGTATCGGATCGACAAACAGACAATAAACTTTTAAAACTAAACTTATTTTAAGACTGTGTTGCTGTATTTGCATATTGCCCAGGACATCCATGTAAAAGAGAGTAATAATCTCAATGACTTCTTCCTGGTAAAATAAAAGGTGTAAAAATAAAAAAATTTAAAAAAAATAAACACTCAAATATCGGTATCGGAAGTGAAAAAAAAAAAAAAAAAAAACCTGGACCGGTGCATCCTTATTTGAAACACATCCTTAAAAATTTGTCCTGACCTGAGCAGCCATCAGCGCCCAGAGCAGCAGATGAACAATGTTGAGTTTACGGATTTCAGACTTCAACGCTACACTGGAATAGACGAGGGGAAAGTCAAGAGTTACAAGGAGCAAGAAAACGCAGAGAAATAAGGAAAGTTTTATACGACGGAACCAACCTCATCTGGTAGTGAGAGGCGACCCGCTCCCGGTGCTGAAAGTCGCTGCCATCTGTGCCCTCTGCTCTTGGACCAGCTCGAGAAGCCATGGTGCTGATGAAGGCGTGACGACAAAACAAAACATGGGTTTTAAATCAAGCAAAACTCTTTATGATGGCTTTTTAAGTTGCTGTGCTTCATTTTAAAACACAAGTGCACAATTAATCTGGCGTTATATATATATATATAGATATATTCACACACAATTACGATACACGCTCATGACCTTTGCTTGATAAGGTCATCAGTTCTGTATAAAAAGCACTTAAAGAGTTATGATCTGGGGCAGGCCCAAAATAAATTCCCGAGAGCCACAATTTATCCAGCTGCTTGGAACACCTGGAGCATTCTATTTCCAAACAGACAAATGACTAAAATCATTGGCTCCCTAAGTCCAGAATTGAATGCAAAATCTTACTTCTAACCTAGAAAGCCCTCAACAACCTAGCTCCATCTTACATTAGAGATCTTATTGTTCCACATTTTCCTAACTTCGCTCTTAGACTGCAGGTTTACTCGCGGTTCCTAGAGTTTCCAAAAGCAGAATGAGAGGAAGATCTTCCAGTTATCAGGCTCCTCTCTTGTGGAACCAACTTCCAGTTTCTGTCTGTGAGGCTGACACATTATCCAGTTTGAAGAGTGGGATTAAGACTTTCCTTATTGATAAATCCTATAGTTAGGGTTGGCTTGTTGTGCTGCTATAGGCTTAGCTTACAGGAGGACAAATTGACCTAATTTCTTAAAATGAGTTATTACAACTGAATCACCTTACAACCTAGCTGTTTTTTGTTACATTTTTCTTTTAAATACCATTTTATTTTCACTTGTAAATTCTCAACTTGTACACATCCTTTATGGTCGTCTATTGTTGTCCACTGTTGTCATCACTCTTTGTTAAAATCAGGTCTCTCTTGTAAATGAGTCCCCGAGGCTCAATGGGATTCAATTCAATTCAATTCAAAAATACTTTATTAATCCCAAAGGGAAATTATTTGTTGCTGTAACTCGTTATCCTCATTTCATTAAGAGATGTTATAGATGCTGATGGCTGTAGACAGGAAGGATCTCTTGTAAAGGTCCATCCCACAGTGGATCTTAAGAAACTGGCTGCAGATGCCGTCTGATCCGTCAACCCAGACTCGGCTGGCCTCTCGGTTCCCCCGGGCTGTAGGACCACCTGAATGCCGGGCAGAACTCCTCCCAGAGCGATGGCCACTCCTCCCAGCAGTCTGCTGAGCTCCTTGTCGCTGCGGACAGCCAACTGTGAGTGCCAAGGGACGATCCTGTCCTTCCGCTGTCCTGAGCCGTGTTTCCTGCTAGTTCCAGGATCTCAGTGGTCAGGCACTCGAGCACAGCTGGCAGGTAGATGAGAATGCATCCACAGAACATCCTTTTCAACTCATTTGAGATTTGGGGCTGTAGTTGAGCTATTATTTGAGCTTTTGAGATGTTAATCAGCTGCTGTTGGTTGTAGAAAACTGCCTTGTTGCCATGGTTACGCATCATAACAAATGTCCAAAACTAAAAAGTTTCAGTGAAAAGCCTTCCAGCTGCACAACATCTGATACCAGAGGAAACAATCATCCAAAAAAAATGTGACTTACATCCAGAAAAAGAGGAATTAAAGTTTCCAAAAGCAAAACCTGTCTAAACACAGGTTGAATGAATAGTTTTCATTTGATACTATTTCTATGTTAACATGTGATTCTTGACCTGCCATTGTGCATCTGTCCTGAGATGACTTCTGCTGTGACTTGGTGCTATAGAAATAAACTGAATTGCATTAAATCAATGTTTCACCCGGAAGCAAAACTTCAGGATATTATGTCCAATTTCCCCATTCGTGGTGGAGTATTTACGTCTTATTAACGCAGCTTCAATCCCCTGGAGACTTGTACAATTGTCTATAATCCAAGTGAATATAATTTATACACTTTAGTCTTCTCGGTGAGTGAAACAGCTGCAGCAGAGCCGCGCGTGCAGCTGTTTCACTCACGGCTAGCGTTGCTAAACTAGCATGTGTAGCATTTCAGCTTATTATATATATATTTTTTTTAATTTTATTTACCCAAACCGCTTAATTTGCGAGTTCAAAGAGTACTAACAAGCGCTCGACTCCACCTCTGTTCCCAGCTGTTAAAGGCAGGCTAAATGAAAAGGTCCGTTCAAAGAAAGCTAACAGGCTTTTCACTAGCTCAAATGTTAGCTACTATAGATCACGCACTGAGTGGATAAGCTTCAGATACAAATCAGAAGCTGCATTTTCACTTATTGACAACGACTCTTACCTTTTTATTTCTTGTTGCTATAAAAAAAAAACTATAATTCAGCTAACTACAGGCTCGGTAGCTCGCTAGCTGATTGGAGCGTAGGAGGAGGGACGAACAGGTCTCGACGTGTGACGTGTCGAATCATGATTGGTCCTTTTTCTATGTCAGTCTCTTGTCACTAGAATTAGATTAAATTTGAAGTAAAGAGATGGATTTGGATCGATTTTGTTTTCAATTTATTATTTGTAAGATTCAGGTCTCTTGTAAATGAGTCCACAAGGCTCAATGGGATTAACCTGTATAAATAAAGGTTGAATGAAAAAAAAAAAGTTTATCGTTTTGTGTGTTTAATATTAGACCAGTGAATCTTTTTCAGTGAACTGTATGTCATTCTTTGAATTTTTGTCACGTTTACTTGGTGTTAAAAAAATGGTAAAATATTAAACTCTTATTATTTCCATAGTGTAAATTATGAATTCACAAGCCTTTTGATTTTAAAATGCACAACACTGATCGTACTGACATAATCTGGTTTAAATTGAATAAATACTAATCATGACTGTAAAAGATGGACATTTGACTCAAAATGCATCAAATTAGGCCAAAACACACATATAATTTTTTTTCTTTCTTCTTTCGGCTGCTCCCTGTGTTGGGGGTCACCACAGCCAACAAGGTGGGACTAATGAGGGTGGGGACAGGTGTGGGTGTTTCACCTACCCCACCCACGTTTTTGATGTTGTTGGTACCGGGGGCTTGAACCGACGATCTTCCGATCACAGGACCACCTTCTCCAACCTCTGCGCCCCCATTCCCCATATATATGCTTTTTTCAAATAGGAAGTTGGTCCCAGCAGTTCTTCCTCTGATCTCATCCTCAAATGGTGTCCCCATTGAGTTTGTTGATTCCTATAAATATTTGGGTATCTTGGTCGACTCACATCTCTCTTTTAAGCTCCATGTGGAAAACTTGGTAAAGAAACTGAAAGTTAAACTGGGTTTCTTTTTCAGAAACAGATCCTGTCTAACTCTGAATGCTAGAAAACACCTTGTATCTGTGACTTTCCTTCCCTCCATTGATTACGGTGACGTTATTTACATGAACGCTCCTCCAAGATCTAGTAGAGTGCTGTATGAATGGGTAAATGAGGACACAGATTGTAGTGTAAAGTGCTTTGAGTGTCTTGAAATAAGATAGAAAGGCGCTATATAAGTACAGTCCATTTACTTCTAAGACTTGTGTGAAACTCTGATTATGTTTTAAGTTGTATTTATTCAGAAATATACAAAACTTAAAGGATTCACTACTGTTTGCTTGTAGAACCTTCACGTTACCAGTTGTTCTTGCCGAGGTCGGACGATTTTCCCCTCCTCTTCCTCTCCACTTTGCTTTGCTGCTCTGTCTCGTCCGTGAAACTGCTTCTGAGCCTTTTTTGCATATCTTCCAAACCATAATTATGGACTTGATTTGATCAGTTGGTCCCTCAACACAATTGATAACATTTCTTCGAAGAGAACACAGGCTTTAGGCAAGCCGATTTGCCCTGTTGGCACTCACGCAGCTGGATATCTCATCGACTTGAAGACTTGATGATGTGTCTATCTCTGCTGCCATTTGTGGATTTTAAGGATGCAAATTTAATTGGATTTACAATAACTGGTTTCTGCTTTTTGGATTCGGCTAGTTGCTGGTTTTATCAACAATCAAGGAAGTTGTCAGCAGCAAATTTGGACCCAATCATGCTGCTTGTCTTATGATGGCTTGGTTTGTGCCTCAGGTACCCAGACTCAAATGCTTTGGGCTAAATGGATCAAATCTCCAGGATTTTACTCAGGCAGGTTCCATCGGTGTGGCCATGTAATTTGGACATTTTGGAACCGTTTGGACCAACACAGACTCAAGGTAGATGTCATTAAGTTCTGCCTGTCCCCAAAACAACTGTGTGATTATCTGAATCTGGCTCCCCTGGCTGGCCTTAAATGTATACATATACACAGGGCCGGATTTAGGAGGATGGGGGCCCCTGGGCTGGAGTCAGGATGGGGGCCCCTGGGCTGGAGTCAATACTGTATATGGGGGCCCTATATATATATATATATATATATATACATACCAAGGTTTTTACAGAGAACATCTTGAAAAATATGAAGAACAAAATACAGATTTCCATTTATTAATGACACTTCTGCATTCATCTTATTTTGAGGAACTAGAACCACAAACACTGTTGTCTGCCATTGTAAAATAATATTCCCTGATGCTCCTCCCCAATGCGTAAGATGCGTCAAAAGTGGCCCAATAACAAGCAAGCATTCAAGATGGACGTTTTCCAGAACAAATTGGAACATTTTTCATCGGTGCTGTCAAAATCATCATAGTCATTGATTAAATTCTGACACTATCCATTCACAAAAACATAAAACATCCTTCGGGGCCCCTGAAATGCCGGGGCCCCGGGCTGCAGCCCCTGTAAGCCCCTGCTAAAATCCGGCCCAGCATATACAGACCCTTTCCAAAAAATTAGAATATCATGGAAAAGTTGTTTAACTTGACCACAAGGTGGTATTAGACACCATTTTGTTTCACATCTGAAGCATCCAAATTTAAATTTGAAAAGCTTTGGTTAAACTAGATTAGGTTTTAAATGTATAATTTAAAAAGAAAAGGAACATTTTACAAAATGCCTGAGTCATCTATTATTGTATTTTTATTACAATTAATTTTTTTTCTTTGCTAAAAAGCAAGCTTTTTAATATATGCATTTTTCTCTCTCATA